TCAACATAATAAATACTATTAAAATACCCTATTAAACATTTTGTCGAAAGAATACGTTAAATTATGTAGACCAGTGTAATTAGTGTCATAAGAATAAAAAATTTGATACAAATGTTTTTGTTCTGAGCCCTAAGGGGTTTTCTAACCTGAATGGTGATTTAACAAAGACTGATTCTTTTTTCATTGCAATTTTCACGGTTTAAAACTTTAAAATTGGTTTGGATAAATTGATTTGGATGAATCCAGAAAATTGGAAAAGGTACAGAACTTTCTACAAAATGTTCTGTTGGTTGAAATTGAAGCGCTTGGAGAATGGACTTACTTATTAGATTGCGTAACTTGAAAACAATTAAGAAATTAATTTAAATGTATTCGTAAGTAATGAAAAGCACACCTATTAATGCAGTTTTATCTATACTAATATCCTCCACTCTGTCCCTGTTCACTTGTACATGCCTTCTATGAAAGTGAATTTCAGTCAATATATAGGGTGTCAAGTAAATAAATGGTTAACGCGTTCTATCAAAAACTCTTAGAGACATAGACATGTTTCAAATTTTGGAAAAGTTTTGTAGAAATGTAAAATTATAGAAAATGCCCAGTCTCTCCCTAAGCCTTCGATGCATCGAAGTGAAAGGACTTTTAGCAGAACATCTTTTCTGAGGAAAAGTCTTCCAACAGAGACGCTCAGCTTCTTTGGCACATCCCTTTGCTCGTCCATGTATAAAGTAAATATCTGCCGTGCGATATTGGAATACACAATTCTGATTGTCACTATTGTGGATATGGATGGTCGAGCGTGCCTGTGGGTGGTCGGTGCCGCCTTGCGACGGGATGGCGCCGGTTTGTTTTGCGAAAAGAGGAATGACTGCATTTTGGAAAACCTGCCAGGTATGAATAGCTGATTGCTCGCGCGTATGCTTGGTGTCGCCTTGCGACTGGGCAACGCCGGTTAGTTTGGAAATAAGGAATCGCGAAAAGAAAGCGTTTGGGACCGAGCAACTGAGACCGTGAGAATGAAGCGTGTATGTGACCGCGTGAATTTTTACTATGGACGGAAGGTTAGAGTGCTACTCAGAAAGGTGTAAGTGCAAGAAAGAAAGAGCAAATGGGGTGTGCTTTAAAAGCATGTGGGAATGCGTAGGCGTGTAACTTTTTGGTGCAATTAGCGAGCGAGCGGTTGTGTGTTAGCGTAGCGATATTACTTTATGTAGTCTTTGCTATAGCCTTAGTTAGTAAACTGTAGTTAGTAAACTGTTTTTGATATGAACTTTGAGTATTTTGAACATTACCAATCACCAACAGCGTTTAACTTTCTACACTATGAAACGCTGTCTTTATCAAAAAATAATTATATTCATACTGATTCGCTATTAAACATGCTGCTTTCAATAGTAATATAAATAACTTTGCCTAATATACAGAGTGATGCATGTAACGAAAATCAATTCGATTGCTGCACAAATAATGATTGTAGTGGAAAATATTTCAGATTTTATTCGTTGACAGGATAATATGATTTCGTTAATAAGAAATAACAAATCACATAGAGGTCAGATGAAGGTCAAATTTTCTTTTTAAATGAAATTATATACTTTTTATACTACAATTCGATTGATCTTACAGTGTTGTATAGAAAAGTATTGACCTGTACATATTAAAAAATTATTGATTTTAGAGGTCTTTTATCTACAATTATTCAAAGTAGTAGAATTGGACCACTGCGGCAATTCATTTAAAAATTTGAAGATGACCTTGAAATTTTCCAAAATTGGATTTATAAAAATAAATCGAATAACTTATTATGTACTTCCACATAGGTTTCATTTGTAATGGTCAGTGAGTTAGCACAGTGCTTTAATTGTGAAACTTTGAATAATCAAAGATAAAATACCTCACATAAACCAATGATTTTAAAAAGTATCAATTTTTCGATATTAATCGACCTTTATAATAAAAAATATATGATTTTATTAAAAAACTTGACTTGACCTTCACATGAACTTTATGCGTTCTCCTATGAAAAAACCAATGGCATCACACCATGACCAATAACATCAACCTTTAAATCATTAAACTTTTATTTGAAATATTTTTCACTAAAATCACTACTCGTGGAATAATCGAAGCGGTTCCAGTTACGTGTTTACACCACCTTGTATTTACACCTAGTAAAAAGAATATTTACACCGCTCAAAATTTTATATTTATCAACTATATTAATCATTGTAAACAAAAGTATAAACTATTTCGAAAAGAAGACTTTTCCAAATAAATCTATGTTTACTTGATCTGTTTTTCCTCAGGCATGACAGAATACAATATCAAAATTTGCCCTCTTATATCTTTGACACTACGTATATGATATATAATATACAAACACATACAAAGAATTTTTTATTTTCTAAGAATTTTTACAACTTTTCGAGTAGAACATTTGGTAAATTTAATTAGCATAGTCAGGAGATATATCACGCTAATGCCTGTTCCATTGGAAAGGGTTCGGATATTAACGTAGCAGATCACAAGAATGTTTCCTTCTAAGTCTACGAAGTTGATGTGTAGAATATATACCTGTAGCCATTGCATCGGAGTAGTCTCTTGATCTTGCGCTGTATTGATGAAATAGTCGCGTTATTTTGTCCATAATAAAGACTTTTGCAGATTCTAGCGTAGTTCGTCGTTCCGGATGTATTTACCATGGTGCTCCTGCCATTCCTCATAGCTTCATATAGATTTTATAATGGTTTTGTAGATAAGAATCTTGTTAAATAGATTTAGTTTAAAATCTCTGCCAATAAGCCAGTACCTTTTCCTGTTTACAATTTGTATTTGTTGCGTTCTCTTTCTTGTGATGGGCCCATGTTGTAATGATGCTCACTTGAATTCCACAGAAATCTGCTCGGCTTAATTTCACTGCACCATCCCTGCCCCGTCCCCACTACTCACTATCCGGAACTCAGTGTAACGTGATCCAAGTATACGCGGACAAATAATAAATACAATGAACGGAAGAGAACGGCACACTTCAATAAGGTGCCGCGAACTTAAACAGCAATCGTGCAATGATGAAAGTTTCAGTTTCAGTCTTACCTTTTCAAATGTAATACCACTGGTTTATTGAGATTGTTCTGATTAAAATGAGTCCAGACATGACGTAAATCGGTCTATTTATATTGATTTAGGGGAAATGAACCTTTAATTTCAGTAATTACATTAAGTCGATAAAATTAGTCTGATTACCGTTGTATTTGGACTCATTTTAATCAGACAGATTTCAACAGTTCATCGGTATTATAGGTAAGAAGGTAAGGTTAAAATGACTGCAACTGAAATTTTCTTTCTCCGATGTTTATGTTTAACGAGTGTGACATCACTTCGAAGATCCGGGTCTCGACCTTCAATGTTCGACGGACTGTGCCTTTCCCGCTTCCGCTCATTATATCGATTCTTTATCTTTGTCAGGCTGTGCCCGAGTCAATTCCTGGAAGCAAATAGTTTCCTCCTGCTTTTTCTGCTCGGTTAAATTCCACTGCTAGGACCCGAAATTGTAGAATTTAAGCGAGCATTACTATAACTTGGAGTCGAGTGGTATACCGAGGTATTTGACGAGTTTCGTTTGAGGAATGACATACAGAGATAGACTGATAGGTTGGTGGAGTCCAGTGGATATGAAGGGAATCTCCGCGAAACGGCAGAGTAAGAGGGGAAGCCGTATGCGGCCCGGGGGCTGTCAGTTCGTCACCCCTGTATTAAATTGAAGTAGGGCTTTCACGAGCAAGAGTCCTTTTCGTGGCTCGTGAGCACGACAGTGAATGAGGGGAAAAGCTGAAGTCGTAAAAGAGTGGGAACAGCGGTGTTGTGTGAGTGAGGCTCGCTAGAGGGGTGGTTAACTGTCTGAATAGCTGTACTCGTGTTGCAACGGTATTTGTGACAGTGTCTGGCTCACAGATTACCCCACCACAGAAGTTCCGGTCTTTAGGGGCGTGGTTGTGGCCATGAGTGGATTTTGTTGAGTAAACCCACAAACTCGTATGATCATGGCCTTGGACATTCCTACAGTAGAATTACATCCAAGAAGTCAGATATACTGTACGGGCTACATAAGATTTCTGGAAAGTTTCACAAGATTTGTAGAAAAATTACTAATATTAATGTTGGAAGTTTTTCAAAGTTCTGAATCCAAAAGATATCTAGAAAATTACGCTACGTGGATATTGTATATTTATTGGCAATGGTATAAAGTATATGTAAATAATTTATGATACTGCAATTGTACAAACTATATTTGTAAGTCCCATATAATAAATGTTATTTTATTTCAATTTATATTAACCCTCAAGAAACGGATAGCCAGTTTGTGTCATAATAAAATTCTCACTTTACACGGATTATAACAATAAATTCTACATTGAAATGTATGCATAGGTATTGTTAATTGTATATATTATATTTACATGTATACGTAATTACATGAACAATATAATAAATTGGCGAGAACTTTTGTTGATATATTAATACGTTTTCACAGTCATTGCTGTAGTATCCGCGGCTTAAAAGTTAAGATATTTAAATTATTATTGCAAATAATAACTTACTTGAGATGTTAATAGATTACTATATCGAATTATATATTTAACAGTTTAGCAATTTTAAATAAAAAATTCTAACTCTATTAAAAGTATCATATAATCTTCATTCTGTACATTCTGAGTGAAGATAAAATTTGGAACATTTACTATGAATTATTACAGAATATACTAGACCCAATATTATTTTCATTTTACAATACCTTTCACACAATATAATTCCTATATAATAAATATTTCTTTTCCATCCGAAACTAATACTTCTATCTTTTTAACAATCTTACTCTTTAAAAAATGTTTAACAAGTATGTAAGTTTGTATATATCAACTAAGATGTATTAACTTGTAGTAAGATTGAAATATAATTTGATATTCCTCATCATTCACGTAAAAACGAACTTTGTGTTTTAGGTGATTCTTGTGAAATGGAATGAGCCTTATCAGAAACTAGCTTCATGCGACAGTTCTGGCGTTATTTTTGTATGGATCAAGTATGAAGGAAGATGGAGTATAGAACTGATCAACGACAGAAGTACTCCAGTCACGCATTTTTCTTGGTCGCACGATGGTCGCATGGCTCTCATATGTTACAGGGTAAGTAATTTTCATTAAATCTCACACACATTTAATAAAAGACTGCAGGTATGTGCATACATCCCAATCTATTATATATGCTGATTAAAAACCTTATTTTTTATAATTTATTTGCAAGAAAGAGAATTAAAATAATTTAATTAAAAATGAAAAGAAAATTTCTTTGTATTTTCTTCAAATATTTCTATCGTGCGTTTAAAATAATTTTCTGTTTTTTTATCATTCAATACTATTTGCATTAATGTTATTGTAGATAACTGTATAACTTTTTATTATTATATTATTTGGCAACTTCGCAGATAATTTTAAGTATGCTTAAATTGGTATTTCATATTCTTTGAATATCCTGTCACTTCAATGCAGAAAGAATTATCTACATTAATTTATCTTTTGTTCCTTTAAAATACGAAATTTCTAACCGGTACTTTTATGTACACCTGGAATTCCCGAGGACAAAACGATTTAAGTAACTGTAAATTGTGTTATCTCTGTAACGAGAATTTATTTACAATTAAACAGAATCTGTAATTCGAACAAGAACATGTAAAAAGCTATTCTGTTTATTTCTATTGTAAACAAAAGTTGTATTCTACTTCCGTTTAGCATTAAACGAAGTAACTAAAGAGACACAGGAGACTATAGAAAACAAAAACAGTAAATTTTAACAAATCCATTGTAAATTTCATAAATAGGTAACTGTACGCTTGGGGAATTTAATTTCAAACAGTAGCCGCAGTAGTTTCAGACAGTGAATCTGGAAAGTTCTCACAAGACTATACAACTTCGCTGTAATAATATTTCAAGTTAAACTCCGCGTGCAAACATTAGTCACAGTTTTGCCGAGAAAATTCGAGTAGAACGCTAGGGGTCAGTAAGATCCGATGCACACGTTGAATATTAAGTTTTGTCGCCAATACTTTTGTGTGTCAATGGACAAAAAGAGAGAGGGGACGAAATATTGGTCATGCAGTTACATATATTGACGTTTTAAATGGAGTCACAGTTGGTGCCAACTTTTGAATCGTGCATGAATTCGAAGTTAGCCTCAATGGCGCTGGCGCCAATACCCCATGTGTGAATCCTCCATTAAAAGAATCTCTCCGCACTAGTTCTGATAGTAAAACATCATTCATGACTTTAGTATACCAAAAATTTAAAACAATGTCATTCAAATAATGTTTTTCATGAAAAACAAAATATAAACTATTGTTTACTTTTTACTAACAGTATTATTTTATTTATGTATATTCACTGTCTTAACAACATAGTATAAATTAAATTAATTAATTTCTGAAAGGATTCAGTCGATATTCCCTTCTTCTTTCATTTTTTTTCAAATTTGTTTTTCTGCTACAGATGTTACTATAATTTGTTGATAATTTAGATTTCTTGATATGCTTCTATAGGTATCTATAGTAATTCCAAAAAAATTAAAAGACGATAAGTAAACAAAAATTATAAAGATACTGGGAGAACGTTATTAAAATTAGTAACTTGTATAATTAAAACCTGCATATAAAAATACAATAAAATTTTGTACATCTCCTTTTTATACTATCAATAACTCGCAATAATGTTGCTTCGAATGTCCTGCTTCATTAAACCCAGCTTGTGTATTAACTGCTTCATTCATAATGCTCTACCCAACAGTGTGCAAAGTTCAGTTTCGTGACTTACTAATTCTATAGAGAAACTGTAAGTCAATATCCAATTTCGTTGTATCTGTCTGTATGCAAATAAGACGGTTGAAACCCAAATAAGTTGCAACTTAACTGCAGAATCGTGTTAGATACATGGTCACATGACTTTGTTTCTGTATATTAATATGCGAAATTCACTCCTGCTGTACTTTTCACGCGTAATGCAACACCTTGAGCATAGAGTGAGCCGTACAAGGTGTTTAAGTGCTGCCGTTGCTTTTTGCGGAACCATAACAATTATCGTTTGGCGGTTGAAAAAATAGTGGTGATAAAAGGAGTAAAGCGTTGGTGAAAACTAGAGAGAACCGTTTCGTTCGGAATCTGCTAGTGGACTCGTTAGGAAGGTTACCTAGGAGATCTTGCCTCAGATACAAGGATGGTTTAAACCTTGCAAACAGTATACATGTATACAAGGTATCCCAAACGGAGGGGACAAATCTTATACTATGTACTACTGAGGTCAAGTAAGTAAAAAAGTTCATGTAAATATACAGGGTGGATCACGAAGCGTGATCAGCTTAGATTATTCGGCTGTTAGCCGTTCGATTGGACATATTTTTAGCTAAAATAACATAGTTTAAAGAGAGCTTTAAGATGGTTGTGTCACATTTTTTTTCAACCCATTTTTTCCACACATTCTACAAGTTTTTTACACACATCCTTCAGGGGATACTAATACTAATACAAATTCGGCAAGGACCATACGAAGTATTTCTTCTTCATCTAAACGAAAGAAACATTTAAAAAGTATCATGTAAACTAATTGATTCGATGCTCAAAATAGTGTCCACTAGCTGCAATAAACTCGTGTAAACAGTTAAGAAATAACTGCTTAGTTCTTTCTACGACGTTCTTTCTATGGAACTAATTTGCGGATTGTTTGCCATTAAAAAGACATTGTAGGTTTATCTATAAAAACTGAAGGTGACCTTGATAACTCTGAGAAAAAAGGGGTTGACAATAAATTTAGTGGAATCCTCTTAAAGCTTCCCTTGAACCATGTTATTTTAGGTAAAAAAATTCCGATCGAACCGTTAGTAGCAGAATAATTCGTGGTCCACCCTGTATGTCCGAAAATTATAGTATTTGTATATAGTATTGAGTCTTCTATCAGGCGTTGTGACATGTGTTTGACTTTCAGTTATGTACGTGAAAACTTAATTTGTGAAAATAAAATAGAAACACAAAATCAACTGTGGCATGCATTTAAGATCGTTTTGTATTATTCCTATCACGCTAGGAATACGTACCCCGTTAATTTGAACCCTCTGTCAGAAATATGGACCATTAAAGATCGACGAAAATCTTATTTCTTCATGACTCCTTTACGATTTTCAATTTTTATTGCAAAATGATAGGAACATTTTGCTATTATTTTTTGTACATTGCATTAGGGACTATAATAAGTAGACTGCGGATCTATGTGCAAATTCAAATTTTTCAAAATATATATATTAGAATATTATTTTTCCTAATGAACACTATAAAAATCACTATGCTTTGGATATTTTATATATTTTTCCGTATTGCGTGCATTCTGTGCAATTTCGCACTTCTAAATTTCACATAAATGCATAAAACTCCCGAGTATAATAATAAGTATCTTAAAATTTTATCAGATCTTCACAAAATTCACAACAATGGAAAGTCAATAGTAAAGCAAATGTCGCCACAATCGATTTAACATTGTTTCTTTTTAACACGTTGAATTCCATGGCGGTCACCGGTGACCTCCGACTAAATCGAATTACTATGGTTCACTCAATTAAACGACGCTTATATGAAAACATTTCTGTATTATAAATAGTGCTACCTAATACGGTGACATTCATCTAGATGAACGTGGAATAATAATAGTGCAATTCGATTGAATGATTTAATATTATATTCTTTCCATTTTACTATCCGTATACTATCGTGAAGATTGTTTTTAAACACTTTTTTTACGAATCATTTATGCTAATTGGATAAAACTTATTAGTGTCAACTGTATGCCATAATATTTAGCAATACTTGAAGAATGACTACAAATTTTTTTGTTGAACAATGCTTTAAAATTGCTTCCACGAAGCACGTCAAAGTTGAATATGAAAAAGAATTAGATGGCTGGGTCTCATTATTTACGTCGTTCTCTTTGTCTTGAACATAAAATCTAACTGATTCTCAGATAGTATGAATTGACTAAGACAAGTATCAAAAAGAAACAAATATATTGAAAACTTAAAGGCAAAAGAAGAAAGATAAAACTTTAAGTTTAAAGCGCTGATATTTCTTCAATTTTAACTGCAGAACTTTCAATGATTATAAAAATCAGAAAAAGCTGTTGATGTACATAAATAGATGTAATATAGAAAAATGTGCTGTTGATGTATGCAATATTTGAGCTTGGTCAGTACAATAGTTCTTTAAATATCGTAACAATCAATTTGAAGAATGTGATATCAATAAAAACACATAAATCTTCCGCTGCAATTTACATGAAAATAATTTTATTAATCACTGATTCGTTAATCCAAGACCACACAGAGAACCTTTCTCTTCATCAAAAAAATACCATTATGCTGTCCTTTCTTCTTTGCTATGAATTTTAGTTATTTACAGAAGTCACTCGAATATTACTCCACGCTATTGTTACAAGCTATATTTCTATAGTTATAAATAAAAAAACTATTATTAATCGATACATCGCTCCTCCATGCATTTGCGAAAAGTTTCTTTTTGATTTTATTAGTAATGAAGGAAGTCTAACATGTTTTTAGTGTTGTGTAAAAATTGTATGAACTTTATATCAAAATTGACTGAAATATACATTTTTGTTTATAATTATGCATCTTTGTTTAAAATTTGTATTTGTATTGTTGTTTTTGAATATGTATGGAAATTTCTCCAGGTGCCCAAAGGATTAAATGTAATTACTGTAAAAATAGTAGCAATTTCAGGAGCTGCTAGTCCCGAATGAAAATGTTTTCGAGTAAAAATCTATATTAAATATAATAGGTTTTGTAATTATATTGTTTCACTCCGAAATTGTAAACACGTTTCTAAAGAGTTATACTTTCGGTATATGCAAACATCAATTTTTTTACCTGTCACATTAAAGCAACTCTTTAGACGTACCAAGGAGCAAAGAGATACCTTTTACTATACAGTAGCCATCTTAGAAACATCTCTTGTACCTGAAATAATCAGACTCTCTATCCCATTTGTATGGAAAAAATAAGTGGATATTTGATATGATTTGAGGAAAACTTATGTGGTTCATATTATACTTATACATGTATCTGTTATATTAGCTATTATTGCCGTATTAATATTGTAGTAATAGAAAAATTTCTTTGAATTTCTAATTTATTAAACAAATTTTTATTATAGAGCAAAAAATATAAGAGATAAAAATATTATGTACCACCCTGTATTATGTCAAATACAATTCTTAAATTATACTAACATTGAACTTTTTTTAATATATTTGTTACATACTATTATTTTTATTTTACCTTTGCTTGTAAATATCATTTACATGTTTGCTTGTAAAATTTGATATATTATCTATAATACCTAAGGTTTTATTTAATAAATTTTATTACACTCTATATTCATATTTTATCATACATCGCACTCTATATTGTTACTTAAAAATATTATATTATACTGATCTATCTTTAACTCATTTATTAGGTTTAACGAAACATTTTTAATTTCAAATTTAATGATTCAAAATTTATTTTATTTCAACTGAATAAGAAAGGTAAATTAATTTTTTGGTTTGTAGGATGGTTTCGTACTCGTAGGCAGTGTTGCGGGTCAAAGATATTGGTCATCGATGTTAAACGACAAAGCTACTATTACCTGTGGAATTTGGACACCGGATGATCAGCAGGTATAGTAAAAAAACATTGATAACAACTTTTTAAGATTTACTTCATATGTATTCCGTCTATATCATGCTAACTAATTGTTAATTCCAACATGACTTTTCGTTTTTAACATATTGATGATTCATCCAGCACTAACAAAACTACCAAAAATTTAAACATTTTTAGTTAATTTCATTTTTATATTTCAAGATAAATATACACCGATATTTATCTTGTTTACCTCTTTCTACAAAATTAATTTTTAAAAAATATGATGAGTGATTAAATTCGTTGGTTATAGATGATATAACGATCAAAATATTAAATTTGTGACATTTATCTGAATTATTAAATTATATTTATTTACCTTAAATTGTTTTAAAAAGTTATAGTTTAGTTTTACATTTTGTTTAGATTTGTTAATTTTATATTGTATAAAAAGGTTTGAAGATATGAAAAAATTGTACTATTGTAAAATATTATGCTTTAAAATGAGATATCTCACATTAACAAGTATGGTAGGTTTGTCACCTTAGGATCCTGAGATAGGCATTACATGTTAAGAGCTTTCTAAAAATAGGTGAAGGTTTATCGCGTCAACTTTGATATTAAAATTAGAAACATTGGAATGTAGGCAAGGCTCATTGCTTGGGCATCCTTCAACGGTAACTCATAGAGCCTGTACGGATATATATTTTGTTTTGTTCCTAAAAGGACATACTCCCTTGGTCCGAAAATACGATACACATTTCGATTTTGTTCTTGTCCGAAAATATGATGTACATTTACAATTTTAATTAATCAGAATGATTTTCTTTACTAAATAGTCACAAATATCTAGAAAAAAATAATATAAAAAGTTTTAATTAAACAAGGACGTGGCTGATTCCACTGTTTCTATAGAATATGATAATGTTGTTTGTAATCGTTCCTCGCTAAGTTTTGCCTTATTAATGTGTGGAATCTTATGGGAATGCCCTCCTTTTGCTAACATGGTTGCTTCTAGACAAGTTGGCAGTGTTAGAAAAACATTATTAGGGGTTTGTATGTTTAACATTAAAACTACAAATTGAAATTCCTCTGTAGAAACTCCAAGAGTGCATCTACGAGACTTTAATTGATTCACAATTCCTTTTGCGTATTGCTAAATCAACTTCTTTAATCATTTCTCAGAAAAACACCTATTATCCTTTTAATAATTGCAAAAAGAAGAAATTAGGAATGGGTCATTTCAATCCGTCTGGTAGTTTTAGTGTTAATTTGTCTAAAATATGCGGTTTTTGCATTTGTTTATTAGTTGCCTAGCAACCACTTATTTAGAAATAAAAATAAAAAATGATCAAGATAATATTACTTTCGTTAATCTCACATTTTGAAAGAAATGTATACTATATTTTCGAACGGAGGTAGTACATCGTATTGAAAAAAAATAATCAAATATTATTGAATTTCTTTATTTATATAATGTTGCGACCACAGGTGTATTTTGGAACAACGGCTGGACAATTAATAGTAATGGACGTTCACGGAGCAATGGTGTCGGAAGTACAACTAGCAGCTGGGGTCACTTCAATGGCTTGGAGTGCTGAGAAATTTACCATGGAAGAAGGAGACGACGATTTAACGAATGACAGATCACACAGAGGTATGTCTTACTACTGTCTATGAAACTACTTATATACGTATCTTATGTTTGAGTGTATCTAGAACAGGTTGGCCATATTTTCATAAAGTTTTAAACCTACTAAAATTCAGCTTATAACTTAATGAGTAATTGCGATCTTGTAATAATTACACAGTTAAAACGCACCAATTTTTGTGAGTATTCTTAACTTTTTTTTTGTTCTCCAATTTCTACTAGGTGATCCTTATACAGTACTTTGCCCTAAACACGAATCCGAAAATTAAACTGCTGGAGCACTCTCAGTTTTCGAAAAACATGGGTTTTTGTAAAAACGATCGATTTTTAGAAGTAAACAAGTATTACGTGAAAACTAAAAACGACAGACAGTTCAACTTTCTCGTAAAAATAGAGAAGAGTTGCCCGAATGTGTAACTATACAAATTTTGAATATTTATATGGCTGACAGCTTAACCAATTAACTATGGAATTTAATTTACAAAACCTCTGATACTGCTCGCAATGAAATCAAATCATAAAGTGTATACTCAGCCAACGCAGGCCAAATGTACTTATAATTTATTCTAATTAAAAGCAAAAGCAAAACGAAAAAGAATTACATGTTTATCTGAAAAATTAAATAATTTATCGTTAAAAGAATTAGTATCATTTTAATTTTAATATGACGTGTATACTTGTCGAACGCAGTTGACTGGTTAAGTGCTTATCAACTGTCAGTACCTGTGTTTTGGTTGATTAATCTGCAGCCGTAAGTTTTCCTTCACAAAATTCATATTAAAACAACATATATATTCAGGGACGAAAGGGTTAAAAAACGGACACTGATTACCATATCATAGAGAATGGACGTGCTGCGTATTTCATAAACGTTGACACATTGTGGGACACAGTGTTCTATCTTTTTCCCTCCTCTAGAAAAATGCTGGTTCTGACGCGGTGAAAAAGATTTCTTCGCTTATCCGACATACTTTAAATCTTGACGTTAAAAGATTACATAATGTTTTTCACCTCAGAAACTATTAATCGTATGCAGCCCGTTCTTGCATTGCTTGAAGCAAGAGGAGCTGATTTTTAGTAACTTCACATGTTAACACCGCCTGTACCATCAACCGATATAACTTTATATCAATTTCTATATTTCTGTTTCTGCTAAGAAAAATTTATATAGTTGTTTAGGCAACCCAGTTTATGTTTATACAAAACAATTTTTATTTTAAGTTTATCTATTCTCAATTGGAAACGAAATGTGCCTTAGAAATTTCTTTATTGGATTCTACAAGGTGCATATCTGCTCTGTCGCATACTGGAATTAGATTTCCTTCTAGACGCTTAATTTTTAAGAAAAATTGAAAAATATTCACAAACGCACCTCTTACTTCCATAATAATTTAACTTTTACTGCCGACTGTACCTCTATCATAGTTAAATTACTACAAAACATGTTTTTAAATTAAATTACTACAAAACATGTTTTTAAATTAAATTACTACAGAACATGTTTAAATATTCATAGTATTACTAAAATATACATTACTGTGTTTAGGAAGGTCCATAGAATAATACTGCGTGAGGAAAATTGAGAGATTTTCATAATTAAGACAACAAAATGTCCAAAGTTGAAAAGTTTTCTCAAAATTGATTTTCTTAAGAGCAGAACGTGATACAGACAAACGGATTGCATATCTAAATTCAGCATAAGAAATAGTATTAAAATATCCTATTAAACCTTTTGCGACAAAACTAAGTTAAATTTTGTTAACCAGTGTAATTGATATCATAAGACTAAAAAATTTGGTACAAGTGTTTTGTTTTTAGGGCCTACAGAGTCTTTTATATTGAATGATGATTTAACAAAGACTGATTTTTTTTTCATTGCATTTTCTCACAGTTTAAAACTTCAAAATTAGTTTGGATGAATCCAGAAAATTGAAAAAAGTACAGGAATTTATCGTCCAACTTGTTTACCTTTTTTTTTGTAACCAATTATTTAACTGGTTACGATACGCATAAGTATACAAAGTACCGGTACGTTTAGTGTTAAATCAGGTCAGAAATTCTATTCATTAGATCAAATATGAATTCCACAATTTTTGGAATTAAATTACATACAAAAAATGTCTTATTTGTAAACAAAAGGATACAAAACAAGATACTTCTAGTATAATAACAATCACTAAAAAGCACGCGAATATAAGGTCCAAAGAATAGGATATAAGTCTGAATACAAAAGTCCTGGACCAAAATACAAAAATGCAAATCCGAATACAAAAATCATATAAATTAGATACACTTGCTGGCAAAAGTTAAGAAACAAAATAGTCGTTTGAGAATTGGTGTATATTTTTAATTTCTTGAAAAACATATATTCAAATTAAAAATAACATGAAGAGATTACATATCATATATGAACATACAATAAATTTTTTTTTTCGATTATACTTGTATAAACACTACAATTAACATTGATTCAACGAGACGAAACCAAAATTAAGAAACATACTTTCCTTGAATTACATAACCACTTTTAACAAAAGCAACAGTGTGACGGTGTTTATACTTTTCATGGTAATTTAATAAAAAGTTGGATAACCCTTGAATTTAATGACTGTATGGCATCTGCGTGGCATTGATTCGATTAATCGAGCATAAAGTTCAGGTGGTATTTCAGACCATATTTTTGTAATTTCTCGCATTAACTCCGCTATATTCGTAAATTAATGACTCCCCAATTGACATCCAACGTAATTCCACAAATGCTCAATTGGATTCAAGTCTAGAGATTGATTTGACGATTTTATTACATTCACACATTTTGCTCCACGAGAAATGCCTTATTTAATTTAGTAGGATGGTTTGGGCCACCGTCATGTTGAAATGACCACCGCATTGACATTCTCTTATTAACAAGTGACAACATATGATTTTGTAAAATATCACGAAACACAAATCTGTCCATAATCTCCTTTGTTTGTATTAACGTACCAGGACCATTACACGAAAAACAACTCCATACCATCACATTACCACCAGCAAATTTTGATTTTTAATTTCGGAAACTGTGCAGAATAGATTGGATATAGAGAGTCTTGAAATTCGACGATCCAGCTTTTTACTTGCTTTCCGTGGTCTGCCGGTTCGTGGTGCCACTTTAATAGTTCCATTTTCTTGAGAACGTTTCATAATCTTCGTGGTAACATAAGCATTTACACCAAACACTTTTCCAATATCAATTTTCCTCTGGCCTTTATTTGAACGTTTCAACTATTCTTTGTTTCTCGGTTTCAGTTAAATGTTGCTGCTTACCATATTTACTGCAGCTAATAATACAAACCACACTCGAGAATGCCAGAAAGTAGACAAAGGAAACTTCTTCGACCATGTTTGTTTACATTGCATACTCTACTTTTTGCGAGAAGCCTTCATGTTTCTTAACTTTTGTTACAAATTTTTTAATTATTAAGTTAATAAATTTAAACTAAATTAATCTGCTAAGAAACCTCAAAGACTACTAAGATAAAAACAGTCGATTCTCCTTCGAACATCCATCTAAAAAAAGACATAATTAAGTAGGGACGTAATAAAACTAATAGAAAATTTGAGTGGTTTTTTAAACTGTCGACGCCTATAAAATCAATGCACAACTCGCACGCACGTTCTATTAGAAGAAAAATCCTTCTCAAATAAAATTGAAGCTTTTCAGTGTAAAAATTAAAATCAGCACTAATAATAGTAATTAGTACTTACACTGTCAGCTATAAGCAGAGAGATCGTGTGGTACAATTTTCTGTTATCTTTAATTTGTTAACTGCCGAATTTAGCTTGAAAAATCTCTCGTTTTGCACGCAATAAAATCAAAAAATGAAATAAGTACTCGTCAAACGCAGGATGAATGCACCTAGGGTATATTTTAATGAAAAACCAAAGCAAAACAGAGAAGAATTACATGTTTATCTGAAAAAATAAATAATTCATCGTTGAAAGAGTTAGTACCATTTGAAGCTTTAAAACGACGTTTATACTCGTCAAACACAGTTAACTGGTTAAGGCGTTTTCTAGCTTTCCGCTTACTGAAAATGTTCGTGGTACCTACGTGTACCATTCACGATGAAAGGGTTAAGAAAATTAAAATATCCCCATCATCTCTTAGGCTATTAAAAAGTATTCAATGGAGTATAATAAATGACCTTTCTTAAAACCAACACTGTTCCAGACAGCTGCAACGTGAATTTGTATGAATATCCTCAGCAATTATTGTAACAAAGTTTCTTATTGAGCGTAAAAATATTTTTCAGCCCAACAAATTTTAATTTTACATAATCGTTATAAAGTAACGATTAAATTCTAAAATAACAATAATCGGTTACTCTGATGTCAGTCCCTACAAAATACAAGTTTAAAAAGACGATTTATACTAAAATTAACAGCGTAATGAATTGTTAATGATCGTCCATTTTAAGCAAAAGTACCGTAAGCGTGACTGTTACTGCTCGTAATAATAGTCATTGTTTCTTAAGTAATATTCAAGACACTGTATTAGATTCTGATAAATAATTTATAAGTATAGAGTTCAAGGAGTGTATTGATATTTTCATGTGAACGATACCTTAGTAAGAATCATTTTCTAAATGATATTATCTTCTCATTAGTGATAATTATAACAATTTTATTTACCTTTCTATACTCTTACAAAATGTTCTACTAGTCAATACTTGCATACATTATTTACAATACGGAATGCTTTTATTGTTAACAATTCTGCGTCTTCTTTCGTTTATTTACCTTTATACCAATTCCTATATTGTCCAATTAATCAATTTTTAAAATTTTTGTTTTTCCTTTTGTTTCTGTTTTCACTAAAAACAATTATTCATCCAACATATTTACCTTTACTTTGTAACCAATTATTTAACTGGTTACGATACGAAAAGCGCCGGTACAGTCAGTGTTAATGAAGATAGACAAAGTAAGTGATAACGACTTTTGAACCTCATTTCAGTTAAAAT